CTACTTCTGAAGTTCTGGGATTACAAGTGTGTGCCACCATGCCTAGCTAGGAATCTGTTTTAACTGATGGGCTCAATTGGCACTAATGGAAAGCAAAACAACAATTACTGGTAGAGGATTGATGTATCTTGATGCATTTTCTGTCTGGGTCTGGGGAAATTATTAAGAATGTGAGACAACTCAGATTTTAAGCCTGGTTGAGTGGGAAAAGTGATTTGTTTATTTAAATACATTTTTAAAAATTCCTCTAAATCACACACTTGGAAGCTCTTTATCAAGTTATATAGATCTTTACGGAAGTTATTGATAAGTAATAGAAATCCCCAGCTAAGAGGAGTTTAAGTCGCAGAGTTCAGTATTTCACCAAAGTTTAGAACTGACCTTGGGTTGGCTGAGAGGTGCTTGAAGCTCACCATGGCCAGGATTTTCCTACATTTTGCATTGCTTATTATCACCTTATTATTCTAGTGATGTTTCTCTCCTTGTGTCCACAAATAGCTGCCGATAATGAAGGCATTGCATCTTGATAGAATAGCCTTTTTGGAAAGAAATACAAAACTCCCCCCACTCCATCTTGCCTGGATGTCCAGAAGATGCTCCTTATACAGCATTGTTTAAACCTGAATCATATGACTACCCCATATGATCATAGACCAGAAGCTGTCAAGCAAGACTAGATTACACACATCAATGTTTATAGCCTGGTGTTGGGCTCATTGGTTATTTTAGCAAAATCAGAATTTTATTAGCTAAGAGGTTGGAGGCAGAACTCTGAGGAGAGAACTAGCAGTGTCCTCTAAAGATCAAGGACTTGGACCACTGGACTCAGTAACTACCACCAAATGCCCTTCCCATCGACATGCCCTAGCTTTCCATTGAATATACTGAAAATCCCTCTCTTGTGCCCTTACCGTATTGCTTTAACAACACCGAGAAAATTATTTTTAATAAGCTTGCATTAGTACTCTTTCTAATAGCAAAAACCAGATGTGAGATTCCCAAGTTGGTCTATTACATATTAGGCTACTGTAAGAACATGGCGTCAGTTGAAAAGCTGAACCTCCCTAACACGGGATGAGAAGCACTGGCTTCAATAAGCAGCAAGTGCTAACCCCTTCCTCCCAGCATAACCTGTTGCTGATAATCAGGGCCAATGCGTGGGAATGGACAGTGATTAAAGTTAAGCTGTTTTATTCACATCTAGGAATCTATTCCAAAACCTGCTATGCTGGTCCAAAGGCAGGACGTAGCTCATACGCATGCAAGGGTTGTGGCTGCCTATGCCCTTGAGAGGAGAAAGCTCTGCCTTTGTTTCTCTCTAGCTCCTTGTATTCTAGTAGGAGAATCAGCTAATTATTTGACTGGCCACAGTTGACAACTTATGGGGCAGAGTGGGGAATCGTAAATGGGCCACTACACCGGAAGGTGGCAGGTGTCTATGGTCGTATTCACTGTTTTTTTTTTTTAATTTTATTTATTTATTATGTATACAATATTCTGTCTGGGTATATGCCTGCAGGCCAGAAGAGGGCACTAGACCCCATTACAGATGGTTGTGAGCCACCATGTGGTTGCTGGGAATTGAACTCAGGACCTTTGGAAGAGGAGGCAATGCTCTTAACCTCTGAGCCATCTCTCCAGCCCCATCGTATTTACTGTTTTAGCTTCTCTGCCTTGTACTGTGCTAAGTTAGTCAAAGTGCTGATTTAAGGGGACACAGTAAGATGTTTTACTTTGGCTGAAGACACATTTTCTTGACCCCAGATTCATTTCTCAGTGTAATTCAGTTTTACCGGGGATGAGGTTTACATGTCAGAAACAACATGCATCCACCCCCATGTGTGACATCCATCTAATTATTATGCTTGTGGTCATCCTCTTTCGGCTGAGTACACATTGCAGGAAGTTGGTAGGATGGATCTGAAACCTCTGTTCTTGATGCAGAATCAGGCTATTTGCACGAGTATCAGATAAAGTGCTAACTTTGGAAACAAGCAAGCCAGTTGTGTTTTGATATTATCCATGTATTATCATGGTATGGAGGCAAGGCAGAAGCATCCAAGACGCCCTAAATTCCCAGGAAGCGTTTGTACCTTAAAAGCTGCAGTGTTGGCCGGGCGGTGGTGGCGCACGCCTTTAATCCCAGCACTCAGGAGGCAGAGACAGGCGGATCTCTGTGAGTTCGAGGCCAGCCTGGTCTACAAGAGCTAGTTCCAAGACAGGAACCAAAAGATATGGAGAAACCCTGTCTCGAAAAAAAAAAAAAAAAAGCTGCAGTGTTTCATCAGACTCCTGGGCTTCCATGAGTCCCTAAGTAGCATTGGTACACAGTCCTAGGAATGTGGGAAATGTATGTGAACACTGATTTGAATAGTGTTGCTTTAAAAAAAAAAAAGACTTTCATTTTTACTTCCATGGTGTGATTCTTTGGGAAAAAAAATCTGCTTTTCTTTCAAAATTCAGACCATATCACGTGTCAAGTGATAGAAGCCTTGTTAGTCAATATTAACCAAACTATATTATTTGTTACAGCGACACTTATACCAAATATTTCCAAAGCAAACAGCACACATCTGGGTTTTCGGAAGGTGAGTGGCTTGACTAGACCAGAGGATCTCATGGAGTTTGTAGTTTTCTCATGTTACCGCCATTAGCTGGACTCGATACCAAGTGCTCATCCTCTTGTCTCAGCTAACAGGGTTCTGTGTGCAGAGGGATGGAGGGGGAAGGAATGGGAGGCAGGGGAAGGAGAGAAGAGGAGAAGAGAGAAGAGAATGGGTTGGTGAATCTGTTCTTTTTAGCTCTGGCCCAATCAGCTGAGGTGTTAAGGAGATGGAAGACACATGGCCTTAGCGTCCCAGTTCTGTAGAAGCTGGGCACGGAGGTACACACCTTAATCCCAGCACTTGGGGTCAGAAGTCAGCTTGTGCTATATAGTGAGTTCCAGGATGACCAGGTGGAAGGCAACAGGTGATGTCAGACAAAGATTGACAGCACTAGGTTAAAGTACTGACAACAGCGGTTTGCATCCATTTATTTTTGAGGACGAGCAATAATCAACACAAGTGGGAGCAGATGCCGGCAGCGTGGTGGCTGCGCTGGAGCTTTTAGTCTGCTAACTGCTGTTTAATTGCTCTTCCCTAAATGCAGACACTCAGGGGTCTGTATTTCATACAATTTCAATTCCTTTGTATTTGGTCTGGTTGGAGCTGTTGTTGGTCCCCAGTTTTTCCCTCGGAGTCTGTAAAGAGAAGAAAACATGGAAAGATGTAACAATCTCTAAGATTCACCAGTAACTTGTGTTTAGCTTAGCTGTGTCCTTCTCTCCCACTGCCCACCAGATTCCTGCCTCCAGTTTGGCTGACTGAGAGGAAGCCTGTGTGGGGCAGGTTCATCCCTGGGTCTCGCCTCTCCTCAGTGCGCCCGTTCTAGTCCTTCGCAGCCAGCTCATTCCCAACAGGAAGTGCACTGGGCTGTGCTTAGGGGATGTTACACACAAGGGGGGAGGTACATCCTGACTCGTACAGGCCACTAAGAAAGCCATATCAACTGCTTTCATAAGAAAAAGGGAGAACTTGGGGAGAGTTCTCAGACAAATGCTCTGACGAAGGGAATCCACAAGGCTGGACACATCTCCTAGCTTATTCCATCATTCATCCTGGGGAAAGAATAGACGGCCCTTATCATAGCGTTGGTCATTAGAGAGATGAGGTTCCAGGGAAGCGAGTCAGCCACCGAATCTCCACTGCACGGTGGTTGGGGGCAATTGTTAGGGGAGAATGGTACTGCATGGAGCCCAGATCATGTGCTAGCCAATCCCACTTGTAGAGGAAGACAACGGAGAGCTGTTTAATGCTTTGTCTACCATCTACCATTTGTGGATTCTCGAATTTATAAATTTTCAGAGGTGAGCTAAGAACTCAGATCTGAAAAATCCTCTGCAGCAAGTAGAGAATCGAAAGAATTACTATTTCAAGCATGCCGACTGCTGTGGCCATTCTTGCTTTCTCTTGTCTCACTCCTTCCTCCTAGGCACTTCCCCAGGGCCTTGCTCTATTAGGAGTTGAGTTGCAAAGGGCGAGGCCAGGTCTGTATGGAATCTCAGCCTAAGACAACAACTATGTCCTGGCTCCATGTACCACAGAGCAAGCAGCTGTCCCGACAGAGAACTGTGCTCCAACTCTGCTAACTCCCACAAACGCTGGCCTCACAGTGCAAATCACTGGGCAACTGCCCCGTGATGCCCAGCCTTCTTCTACAGAAAGGGATCTGGATAAGCACACTGGATTGTTGTTTTATCCACTGATTTGTGTGCGCACATTTAGAACCCATATTTGCTTCTGTACTGGTGTTCTCAAGCTTTCTCCGCCTACTCCCAGTTCAACTACTGAGAACAAAGTTGTCAGAGTCAAAGAGCATTCTCACTAGGGTCTCCCAGGCTCCCACTCTTGGGACTCTCTGAAGAGGACTCCCTTCTGCTCCGTTGGCTATTTTGGGCTTTGTAAAGGAGAGTTGAGTAGAGAAAAGTGGGGCCAGGACTGAGCTGAAGTGTCTTGGGAGTTCGAGGTTTGAGAATGCAGTTTCAGCATGAGAGCAGTTATCGGTGCTTTCATTCCCCTTCTCAAAGTGTTTATGGGGCATAAGGGAGAGACTGAGTTGTTCCTGAACCCTGTTCCCACCATCTTGGGCTCTGCAGCTAGACAGGAGCCCTGGCCGCGAGGTTCCACAACTCACCGTCTGACACTGCTGGTTCCTTTTCTTCAGCTGAGCCCATGTTGGAATGTATGCTATCCTTATGTTCTGGAACTAAAATGTAACAGTCAGGGTTCAAATATAATAACCAGCCTGAAAACACACTCTCTCTCTCTCTCTCTCTCTCTCTCTGTCTCTCTCTCTCTCTCTCTCTCTCTCTCTTTCAGTGTGTGTGTGTGATATCATAGCTCATTATGTTTGTGGACACACAGATTGACTAAAAATTACTTTACACNAACACACTCTCTCTCTCTCTCTCTCTCTCTCTCTCTCTCTCTCTCTCTCTCTCTCTCTCTGTGTGTGTGTGTGTGATATCATAGCTCATTATGTTTGTGGACACACAGATTGACTAAAAATTACTTTACACAATACTCCGAATTAATCAAAAAACTGCTTTCTAATCACTTTTTACTTACCATTCGTTTCATTTTTTTTTTTTGAGAAAGTGTCTCATTGTTAGCTCAGGCTGGTTTCTGATTCTGAGCAGAGTTAGTTAACTGCTTAAGTACTAGGATCATAGGCAGGCGCATGCCTGGCTTCACATGTGTGTGTATGTGTAATATTAATACCTACATATGATTAAAGCATATTAACATACAGATTATGGTATTGATATGTTGTATTCGCTATTATTAATATATATAGGATTTATTTATCTATTATTTTTTTCCTCTCTCCCTCTCTTTCTGCTGTCTTGTCTATCCTGTGCTGTCCTGGTCTATCCTGTGCTATCCTGGTCTATCCTGTGCTGTCCTGGTCTATCCTGTGCTATCCTGGTCTATCCTGTGCTGCCCTGATCTATCCTGTGCTATACTGTTCTATCCTTTCCCAGTTCACTGGAAAAACAGCTCTCTTAACCCACCTGTTGCCAGTTTTATAATATTTCAATGGGAAAGTCCTGGTGATTAAGTTGATTTTCTTAATAATTCACATTTTGATGCCCAATTCAGAAAAAACTATATGGTATGCTTGATTTTAATGCTTATTCAAAAAAAATCACACACACACCCCAAAACCTGAAATCAGTGCCATCTTCTCTACTTAGTCAGGGGCCTCAGAGTTCTTTAGTCTGATATCTAATATCTTCCGCTAAGGATATCACTTGGCAGAAGGTTAAGTACCTCAAGTTTCAACTAGCAACTTGAACTGGAATTATTTTAGAGAAATGTGTTTTCTACAGCTTGGTTTCTTTCCTGCTCATCCCAGGAAGCAGCTAGTCACCTTCTTCATAACAGATTTTATAGACTCGCAGTTCTCTCGGGGCCTCTGCAGTGCCAGTCAGCCTTCCTGGAGGAATAATTCCTCTCCAGATTAAATCCAGGCTTCTCAAGCTCTGCTGAAGCTGGGGCCCAGGTCTCTGGACAGTGACGGGGCTGTAAACGACCTCCAGAGGCTACTGAAATGGCCAGGGTAGTTCAGAAGGCTTGACCTCCAACTAGTCCATGCTTTGGCCAAATAACCTAGCATCACATGATCGCTACCTTCTTCCCCAGGTCTGTTAGTCCATTTTGCATCCCCTGTCCTAACCCGGATACCTTACTGTACTGTTTGGGGGAATTATGCACCTCTGGCCTTGCCTTGGTTACCCATAAGGCCTCTTTGCTGAGGGAGGTGCCTTTTAGCATCCCCTCTCTCCTCTCCTCTTCAACTTCACACTTTTGTTCTAAATCCCAGGAAAGAAGGATCCATCACCACGCAGCCCAGCTCCTACGTCATCTGTTCCGGGAAGTCTTTCCTTACCCTCCCAGCTACCACAGGGACCCCCAGCTGCTTCCACCCTGCCTAGGCCTCTGTGCCAGCACTGCCTCTCCACAGGGTGTAAACGATTGTGTTCTCCACCCTATCAACCCATATGTTGAAGTGCAAACCTTCTCGTGATTATACTGAAAGGTTGAACTTGGGGAGGTGACCAGAGGAGGGTGTAGCATGAATAAGAAAAACCCAGAGACAGATACTGGGGTTCAGCCTGAAGATAAGAAAAGCAAAACAATCAACCGCTAGAGAGACCTTTTACTTCTACCAAATCTTCAGACCGAAAGGGCTATCCTGCAACGCTCTCCACCTACCTCAGACCCCACACTCCACTGAGTTCCTGTCTCTTCTTTATATTCCTTTCTCTGTACAGCCATATAACTTCTGTCTCCACCTCCTCCTCTCTCTGTACAGCCATATAACTCTGTCTCCACCTCCTTAGTGCCAGGATTAAGGGTGTATGATTCCAAGTGCTGGGATCACCTTTGTGTGAGCTCTGTTTCTCTTTTAGACAGATTCAATCTTGTGTAACCCAGGGTGGCCTTGAACTAACAGGGTTCCCTCTGCCTGTCTCCCAAATCCTGGGGTTAAAGCTATGAGCCACCACTCCCTGGCCTGTATGGCTGACTAGTGTGGTTGCTTTGCCCTCTGATCTTCAGGCAAGCTTTATTTATTAAAACACAATCATATATCACTATAGGAGGGCACAGGCTTGGTGAATTCAGAATTACAGTCTTCCAAAACAGGTCCATCAAAATTCATTTGTGCTTGTTTTCATGTGAAGACAGAAAAATAAATAACAAAACTGGCCCTGACCCCACACTGTTTGATGTGTTTTAAAGCACCTACCATGGCTCCTCCCTGTCTCCCCACTTCTTCCATCTGTGATGTAAAAAATACATCTCACATGAAAACAGAAAACCCATGCAGCACCGTCAGCGTGCCCGCTGCTAACTGGCGGATGTCTAGAACGCTTAAGCTGCATGACCAATGCAGCGCTGTTTCTGAACAAACACCCATTTAGTTCTTCTCCTCTGCCGTCTTAGTTCTAAAGTAACTTTAAGACTTGTTTAGGTTTTTCTCCTTCATGTTACTGGATCTTTCCTCTCCCTCTGAATGTTTAGATTGCCAATCGTGTTTCCTTCATTTTGATTTTCAAAACCCTGTTTTGTTAAGCTGTTAAACTAATTGTGAGTCTTGGCATGTCATGGGCTCTTAGGCCCTTCTCCTACACAGTTTGTGTGACTAGAGCCTCTGTGCTAGCAAGTTTTATGTCAACTTGATGCAATCTTTAGTCATCTGGGAAGAGGGAACTTCACTTGAGAAAATGCCTCCTTAGAACTGGTCTGTGGGCAACCCTGTCGGACATTTTGATGATCGATGTGGGAGGTCCCAGCTCACAGTGGATAGTGCCACTCTGGGCTGGTGGTCCAGGGAGCTGTAAGAAAGCAGCATGAGCAAGTCAATTAACAGTACTCCTCCATTGCCTCTGCATCAGTTCCTGCTTCCAGGTCCCTGCTCTGACTTCCTTTGATGGTAGTCTCTCAAGTATAAGTGTAAGCTGAATAAACCCATTCTCTCCCAAGGTTGTTTCTGGTCAGAGTTTTAACACAACAACAGAAACCCTAGCTATGACAGCCTCCTTATTTATTGTACTTCCGTTGTCTCTCACAGAAATCAGTGATTCTGCGAAGCTCAAGGAATACGCTATAGTTTGCTATGAGGATTTATTAGTACCTTTAAAATATGATCTCATGTAGTTTGACATTTGGGATAGGATCAAGTAATAAATATGATCTTATTTTTTTAGTATGGGATGAGGATTTTGAAGGTCTTAACTGTTTTATGGCTAACAGATGATTAAATTTCTTTCTTTGAAACTCAGTGCAAATTCTTAGATTGAATGGAACATATTTTTTCCTCCACCCAAGTCTACTTACTACTCATGGCCTTATGCTCTTTCTGGCTGTCATTTGTTGAGAAGTCAGAGGTGTTTTGACCTTTTTAAAACTTAGTTTATAGCCTGAAGGTCAGAAAATTAAGTATTAAAGTAACTGAAGAGATCTCCTGAGCCTCCTACATGAATCTTCTCACTGACGAGCTAGTTAACAGAGATCTCCAAACTGAGAGGTACATTGCTCTAGTGATTTTTGGAATATCTGGGACAGTGGGCTCTATTTTTGGGGTGGAGACAAGGTCCAAAGGCAACAAAGTAAAAAGCAATCTAGACCTTTGCTAATAAATAAAAATTCAGTTTATACCATGTCATATTCTTTCACAAGACTTTTCATAGTCAAGCATAGTTGAGAAATTTAGGACCAGTTACCAGTTAATGAGTCAAACATAGGATGACAGTTTTGAAGCCCTTTCTAGAGGAAGAAAATTACATTCTTGCCTGCCAAACCCATGCAGCCACCCAGAGGACCTGTAAATTTTAAGAATAAAAGAACTCAAGTTAAAACCAGCTGCTCCTTGGACTTCTACAACCTGAACACCCCCCATCTTGCCTCTGGGCTGTGTTTATTTTGGCTCTGTTCTGGGGACTTGATCATCAGCCAAGCTCTGACTTCCCCAGCCTCACGTTCTGCCCAGATCTCACTAAATGCTCCTTGGTCTAACCAATGGCCTTCTGTCAGTGTCTTCTCACTAGCTCATTCTGAAAGAAAGCAACCATCTTTGGTTGGAATTTGCACTGACTGATTCTTAGACACGTTTACTATCACCTCTGGTTGGGCTTTGAAAACTTGATTTCTCATTATCTTTTCCTTCTTTGTGCAAACACAGACCCACCAAATACAGTCTACCTGTATCACAGTTCCTTTCAACCTCTTTGCCTTAGCCCCTTCCTCCTCAGAGGCTAAGCAAAACAACAAGTCTGGTTTCTTCCATTCCCGTGTTCAATGTAGGTACCCAAATCACCCCAACCACTTAAAGCCTGAGTAATAAAAGGAGAAGAAAGTGAGAAAAAAAAACTTTAGGGAGATAATTTATTCTTACAGATAAAATCAGTATGAAAAACCTTAGAAAATTTATGGAACACAGCATCGAGGTTTGCAATGCTCACAAAATAGGATGGAAGTACACATTAATATTTAGGATAAAAGCACAGGCTAATATTTGGGGGCATGTTTCACTTCTGCATCCAGGAAGCTGGGCATCATTTTAAGGAATCCCACAATCACACTCTGGACTCTTGGTTTTGGTTTCTGACTTGCATTGAACTCCCTGTACCTCTTCCATATAATGTATCTCCTTTTCAAAATTAATTAATTCCAGCGCTTCCCTTCTTCATTATGGTCTTTACTCCAGAGATCTGTCCCTGACTGCTGCTTTGTTCTGTGCTCTCCCTGCCGCACAGGCACCTCCATCTGCAGTCCCACCCTCCAGACTTAACACTAGACATGCTTCTGGATTAGATCTGATCCTGTGCTCTGCCGTGAGGACTCTTCCCACTCTGCTCTAGCTTCATCCTCTTCCTAATGGTGGCTAAACATTAATATTCACCATCCAGCTATCTACCCACTTCTTTCTATTTTTGGATATGTATGTCCATTTTTTGGATGTGTAATTACTCACAAAACCAAGTCCAAAGGAATTAGAGAGCACGGGTGAGGAAGTGTTCCTTTTCTAGTCACTTGGGACCTCCTCCTAGAGGTCCACATAGTTCCCAGATTCTTCTAAGAAATCAAATAATGGTTGCTGATCACTCCATCTCTTCCTTTCCCACCCAGATCTCTCTTACGCGTGGAGACATGTGTCCATTGTTCAGAAGACACGTTCACTTACAGGATTCCTGAAAACCTGCTCCTTCATCTCTACGCTCTCCCTTAATCATGCCCTGCCCGTCGTCCTCATGACAGCACACACGGCGAATGACGAGGCAGTGGAGGCAGCCAGCTTGAGCTGTTGCTGTTCTTAGGGCTGAGATCAATAGCTCCACATTGTTAACCCATTTGGTGCTTACTGTTAGGGAATTCTATTCCAGGGATAGTCCTAAATGATATATCCTAAATCCAAATATCCCCTGGGCACATTGCTTGTGTGTGTGTCCATGTGTGCATTTACCCATGTGTGTTTATACATGTATATGTGTGTAGGCTAGAGGTTGATTTCAGCTCTCTACCTTATCATTTGAGAAATGGTCTCTGTGAATGTAGAGTTTACTCTTTGTCTAGCCTGTCTAGCAAGCACCAAAGATCCTCCTGTCTACCCTCCGCCTGCATCCTTACCCTTGCTACCAAGCACTTAAGATACTGAGCCATTTACCCAGCCAAATCCTTGGGCACATTCTAGACTCCCTTGACTTTTCCTTTCCCTCTGTTTCAGACTGCCCAACTTCTGTCAACAGTAACTCTTTCTATACTGCCGTGGCCACTGCTTTGTTCAAATCTAGCTGCACCTCCATACTGCCATATTGGCCTCTCCTCTGGCTGCAGAGCTGGTCTTCTTGCTTCTAGGTTTTCTTTCAACTCATTCTACTATATCAGACATCACAAATAGCAACCACTCTAAACTTAAAATTTACATCTGTCTCTCTCATCTCCCTAATCACTTGTTTGTTTAAAATGGTTCTTTGTTCCATTCCCGGTCTCCAGACATTCCTCAGGTCAAGCTCTATTTCTACAGAAAATGTAGCAGTTCTCTGAGCATTTTTCCTTACTTCTTGTGGATGTTGCTCCCTCTGACGAGAGCCCTCCTACTCACCATTTTTCCCGTGCTTTCCTCATAACTCAGTAGTCTGCCGTCTCCTTTAGAAAGTCCTTCCAGTGCATTCCTCTAGCCCAGAGCATTTAGCATGTGAACCCCACAATCTAAAGTCCTTTCTGGTTTCATGTCTTCCCTTTTCAGTCCATAAAAGTATTCTCACCATAGCTGTGAATGACTTCTAGGCTATCCATCCATTGGGTGTGTTTGGGGCCTCATTTCATGTGACCGGCCCTCTTCCTCACCACCGTCAGCCTCATACAACTTGGTCTTCCTTCCATGACATCACAACATCTCATCCCATCTCTCCATCATGCACCTTTGCCAACCTCCCCTGCTCTATTTAACCCTCAAAGGCTGGATCCCTCCTTATCCTCTTGTTTTCCAGATAAATCCATCATAGTCATGTGTCCATGGCTGTTTATGGATCAACAGCTCCCAGTTTGACAGCTATAGTCCAGGACTTTCTGAACTCTAGGATTAAGACATTATCTCTCTGATATTTCCATTTTAGACATTGCATAGGTATTTCACTGTCAGAATGGTAGACCCTAATTGGCCCTTCAGGTGCTCTCATAGTACATAGTCCCACTCACACCCTTTACTGACACACACCATGCGCTTATCGCCTATTCTGAATGATGGCGCTCTCTCTGCCATTTCCCCTGTCAACAAACATACACCTCTGCCCAGTTTCGAGGACCCTGGCAGACACTGATCCTTTCTTCATGTTAGTGTGCTGCTCTCCTCATCCCTTCACTTTCTGTGCACAGCTTTGCTTTTTGAACTATTTACACACTGCACCAGCCTGCATTGCCCGTCCTGTGTGGCTGACTCTTCGGCTCCTCTTTCGTTGTCCCTCTGCCGCCTGTTCTCAAAGTCTTCCATTAGCTGGCACAGGCATTCTTTATGACTCTGCCTCTCTGCCATTGTCCTTGGGCTTTGGTCACCCAAGTTCTTCTGTAGTTCTTCCAAACAAGTCCATCTGTGTGTTCCTGGCCCAAGGTTTTCTCTTCTATTCCCTGGCATAAGCCCTCCCAGAATCCCTTTCTTCTCATTCCTCAGGTAGAGAGAGATGCCATTTGGATCAGGCATGGCCACCATCTATTTTATCTACCTTATACTTTCAGTTTTTACTGTCAGCTCACTGTTGGTACTCCACAAATATTAGTGGAAGAAGAGAATCTAAGGTTGGGAAAGACATTTGGTTAATGCTCTTTGCATAGATAAGTGTATTCACTTCAACATGTCTTCTTCCAGATGTAAACTGAGAATTTGTTCTTGTTTTTGTTTGTTTGCTTGGCTTTGCTTTTCAAGACAGGGTTTCTCTTCAGAGAGACTACGTAGACCAGGGATGGCCTCAAACTCACATAAGCCTGCCTTTGCCTCCTAGGATTAAAGGTGTGTGTGCTACCATGCCCAATTGAGAATTTTTTAAATGGCTCAAAGAAGAAAAAAAGGAGAGAAGGCAGCACTTCCTTATGAGTTCATGATTAGAAAACCATCAAAGGGAAAAGTGTGTTTATTGATATTTATTGGATTGTAAATAAAGTTATTTAAAAGTAAATATGGTATAATAGGTTAGACTGTGCTTCCCCAAAGATAGATAGCAGTTCTAACTGCTGGTGCCTGTACTTTTAATCTTTTTTGTAGGCAGAGAAGAGATAATCGATTTAAAATAAGGGTCTTATGGGGGCTCAAGAGACAGCTCAGCAGTTAAGAGCATTTTCTGATCTTGTAGAGGACCAGACTTTGGTTCCCAACACCCACAAGGAAGCTTGCAATTGCCATGTCCAGGGGACCCAACACTCTATTGTGGTCTCTGCAGGCTTTTGCACACATGTGGTGCACATAAATTATGCATGTACACACATACATATAACAAAAAATACAAGTACAAATTTAAATGGAGTCATAGTGAAATCAAGACTGGTCTTAAACGCAATGAGGTCTAGTCCTTGTGGCTTGAGAGAGATTTGGAAACACAAACATCCAGGGCACAGACAGATGTGTGCAGGATGGCAAAGAATGTGGTATGTTTACGAGTCAACACTGCCAAGTACCTCTACTAGAACCAGGCTAAGCAAGGAAGGTTCTTCTCTAGAACTTGCAGAGAACAGGGCTTTACTGACATCTTAGTCTTATGTCACCTGGTGCAGGCTAACTTGTTTACTAGTTCTGAAAAACTAGTAAATGTGGAATACACAAAACTTACAAAGCCACAGTATTCTAAAACTGTGATTTCTTTAGCATTTTATGCTTTATTTCTAAAGACACATTGAATTTAGCCGCTTATTTTGCTAACAATTTAGTTTTAAAAACAAAATATGTAGTCTAGTTATCTATATTAGTATTAACAGCAATTCAGCTATAACAAGCATTTCATATCTGTGTGTATGCATGCACATGTGTGTGTGAGCACTGCATGGTATGTGAGTGTGAATGCAGGTGCATGGGCCTGGCCATGTGTGCACGGCAAAAGGAGGAGGTCATGGCTCTTCTAACTCTCTCCACTTTGGTTTTTTAAGACAGGGTCTTTCATTAAAATAGAGCTTGGTTGACAGCTCTTGCCCGCCTGAAGCTTTGGGAGTTACAGGCACACATGTTTGACCACACTCGCTCTTCTGTGTGAGTGCCACCAATCCAAACTCCTTCTTGCAGAGCAAGCGCTCCTACCCACAGGCCACCTCTTCAGCCATGTGGTACCTTTTAAAAAATGTGAAAAGATTTATTTTTATCTTATGTGTATGAGCATTTTGCCTGTCCATATATCTGTATACCACATGCATGTCTGTTGACAAAGGAGGCCAGAAAAGGCTGCCCTGAAACTGGAGTTGTGGATGCTTGTGTCACCAAATGGATGTTGAAAAATCAAATGTAGATCCCTCGAGCAGCCAGTGCTGTTAACCACTGAGCCTTCTCTACAGCACCCTGTAAGTACCTTTTTGGCATCAGATCAAAGAGAAAACAAATTTATGAGATTACCTTCTTCAACTGGCTGAAAAGTTTTTAAGTCTCCAAATGCAACACGTTTTTCCTGTTGAAAAAGTTATAATCAGAGCATTAAATGACAGCAACCACTAAATCATTCTTTAGCAGAAAAATTATTTGATGCTTGATTTAAAACAAATAAATATTTTTAGCATACCGAAAATTATAAAACCAGATGCATGACATGTTTTTGATATATTCTCCAAACCTTTGCTGCTTTATGGTTTTCAGGAACATGACAGAAATTGAGCTCATGCATGTCTTGGCCTCCAGAACAATTTTGAGATCATTATCAAAGCCAGCTCCTTCGTAGGCCCTCTGCCGTACCTGAATCAGATCATCCGTGAGCCAGTTTATTATCTGCTTACTCAGCGAAATGCCCTCAAGGTCTGTAAGAACTACCCACGTTCCGTTCTCAAATTTCACAGGCATAGAGAACACGACCCCTTCTGGAATACCAAATTGGCCTGCAGGGAGCATAGACAGGGCAAAGCACAAGTAAATAAAGAATTTGGAAAAAAGGACTGAAAACAACACACATAGTACATGATTTTAAAACTCTGTGTGTGTGTGTGTGTGTGTGTGTGTGTGTGTGTGTGCATGTGCGCTCATGCATGTACCTAAGGAGGCCAGCAGAGGGTATTAAATGCCCTGGATCTGAGGTTATAGGTGGTCAGGTGGTGTGAGCTGCCTGATACGGATATTGGTAATCAAATCCTGGTCCTCTACATGGACCCTGGAGTCAGTACATGATTTTTAAGGACATTGGTGGTGCTAAGTTTTCCTATCTGATTAGGACCAGAGCACCCATTCAGTCCTTAATGCACACCTGTCCTAGTTCTGACCATTCTCCCTTCTCTTTCATATCTAGGGGTTAGTGAAGTCTTTCTTTTCTAAGCCTTGTGTATAATTTGTACCTGTTTCCCATAGCTGATCTATGACTTTGCATGTAACACATGAGCCTGAACCACTCGAATAATTTGGCTTTCTTTTCTAGCTTACTACATGTCTTAGGGTTACCATTGTTGTGATAAAACATCATGACCAAAGCAACTTGGGGAAGAAAGGGTTTATTTGGCTTGTGTGTCATCATTTATGTACATTGATGACATGGTCACTCCGTGGTATGATTAAGGGGAAAATTTTTATTGTAGATATGGGAGAAAAAGAACACCCAGATGAATCTGGAAGATTCCAGAGAAGAAAGAGAGAAAGAAGAATTTGAACATGTCCAGCAGCCTGAACCTAGACACAAGAGAAGTAGGAACAGATCAGAGAGTGTAGATAGAAGTTTCTGTTCCATCTGGTCCTGCAGCAGTTCAGTTCCAACAAAATATGCAGAGGCTTATGTTAATTATAAACTGGTTGGGCTATTAGCTCAGGCTTAATATTAACTAACTCTTACAACTTAAACTAACCCATAATTCTTGTCTATGTTAGTAATGTGGCTTGGTACCTTTTATCAGTGAAGCATTCTCATCTTGCTTCTTCTGTATCTGGCTGGTGACTGCAGACTGAGTCTTTCCTCTTCCTAGAATTCTCCTAGTCTGGTCACCCTGCCTATACTTTCTGCTGGCCAATGGCCAATGAGTGCTTTATTAAACCAATATAAGTGATAAATCTTTACAGGGTACAAGAGCATTATCCCACAGCAAGAGAGATAGAGGAAGAGAAGGGTGAATACAAAGAGAGAGGCTTGCTTCATATGACTTATTCATCCTACTTTCTTAAAGAACGCAGGGCCATCAGCCTAGGGATGGTGATGTGGGATTCCCCTCTGCATACTGTGAATATGATTGGTTAATGAATAAAGAATCTGCCTTGGCCTGTGATAGGACAGAGTAGAGCTAGGTGGGGGAAACTAAACTGAATGCTGGGAGAAAGAAGGCAGAATAAGGAGACACCATGTAGCCTCTGGGAACAGATGTGCTGGAACCTTGCCAGTAAGCCACAGCCACATGGTGATACACAGATTAATAAAAATGGGTTAAATTTAGATGTAAGAGTTAGCCAATAAGAAGCTAGAGCTAATGGGTCAAGCAGTGATTTAATTAATATAGTTTCTGTGTGGTTATTTCAGGGCATCAGGAACTGATGAGTGGCCTCTTACTACCAATGGCACCATCCACAATAGATGGGGCCCTTCTATGACAATCACTAATTAAGAAAATGCCTTATACACTTGTCTGTAACTTGATCTTATGGAGGTATTCTTTCAGTTGAGACTTCCTCCTCTCCAGTGACTCTAGCTAGTGTTGAGTTGACATAAAACTAGCCAGGACATTATAGCAACCATATAGTCAATGTCTGCTAGGCTAGGAAAGGAAAGGAAGTGGACAGGAGACCTGGTTATTTCCTTGCAGCTTCAGTTCTCCATCTTTGTTCTTGTAAAGCTAATCATACTTCCTATTCTAGTCACTTCCTATGGATGGCTTTCAGTTGGTAAATTGCTAAATCCTGGCATTCTGCATACCAGAGCCATTGTTGTCAGTAGCTGTGGGAGGCCCAGCTCAGTACTGGCCTGTATGTGGCCAGGGTTCTTTTCAGAGACTTTACCAGGGGAGAGATGAAGGTACTGAATTACTTTGCAGGTAACAATTTCAGGACAAGTCAGTATAAAACAAACCTGGGGTTTTCTAAAGCAGGGTTTATTAAGTAAAGGGCTTCAGTTTACACTTAAAGGTGGGTGTAGGCTTCTTGAGAGAATCACAAGAGTGCCATCTTGGACAGTCATCTTATGGTCAGATTTTGAAGGCTGTGGATGTTATTCATGAGTTAAGGTAGAGAGAGAAATGTGGAAAATTATAGGACTAGGTCGGAACAATCCTGAAAGTTCATTTTCTCTCCCTTTCTTCTTTTAATCGAGTTTTCCTGGTGTGCCATGGTGTCAGATGCATTGTGGGAATGGGCAATTTTGCAAGGCTAATGATGTGCAAACACCCCTACAATGAGGAAAGAAAGGCAGTGATCATGTGGGTTAGCCATGTTGATTCCAGCAGCCTAGAGAGTCTTGCTGCAACAGCTCTGTGATCTCATTTTCTAAATACTGCTAAGTTGTCCTATGGCCCTGTGTTTACCTAGTCTGGCTCATTGCCAGATCTGTCCATGGTGCTGGCAACCTATCTGTGGAGAATGTGTTTTATCGGGACAGAGTGTAGGGTAGCTTATCTAACAGGGTCTCATGAGAATAGACCAAGAAACAAATAATTTTGAGTGGAATTCCTACAGAGGTTAATAAAGCTTACAAATGAAGATCTCTCTCTCTCTCTCTCTCTCTCTCTCTCTCTCTCTCACATTTTCTTGTGTGTGTGTTCACAAACACACATTTGAAGGTCCTCTCCTTCTTCCATATGAATTCCCAAAAGCTAACTGAACTTAGAGTCACTTCCATGTCCCATCATGGGGTTTTCAATGCCTGTCTTTCCACAGTCTTAACCCTGGGGTGGCAATGGCCAGGCATTACCACTTAAGCTGTTCACTGTGACCTGAGTGTCACATAAGATGCTTCTCCCATGGAGATGTAGCAGGAGACACAGAGTGAGCCTACCCTCAGTGCAGAGATTCTAATGAAGAGGTTGCATGCATCTACTAAGGCACGGTAGAATATTCTGTCTGACAAATGAACCGAGAAACAAATCAGGGAAACAACACCTTTCACAATAGCCTTAGAAAAATACAAAATATCTTGGGATAACTCTAACCAAGTAAGTGAAAGATTTGTGTGATAAAAACTTCAAGTCCTTGAAGAAAGAAATTGAAGAAGGTATCAGAAGATGGAAAAATCTCTCAGGCTTATGGATTAGTAGAATTAGTGTGTAAAAATGGCCATTTCATGAAAAGCAACCTACAGATTCAATGTAACCCCCATCCAAATTCCAACACAAAAAAAAATTCTCAACTTCATATGGAAAAAACAAAAAACTCAGGATAGCTAAAACAATTCTGAACAATACAAGAACTACTGGAGGTTCTCGCCATTCCTGATTTCAGTTTGTACTACAGAGCACTAGTTAAAAAAAAAAAAGCATGGCTGGGCTGTGATGGTGCATACCAAAGGCAGGGGGATCTCTGTGAGTTCAAGGCCACTCTGGTCTACAGAGCTAGTTCCAGAACAGGCTCCAAAGCTACAGAGAAACCCTGTCTCGAAAAACAAAACAAAATAATTTATTTATTAGTTTACTAATTAATTAATTAAAAAACCAGCATGGTATCAGTATAAAAACAAACATGTTGATCACTGAAGACCAAGCCATAGAGCCATGCACATATGGACACTCGATTTGATGAAGAACTCAGAAATGCACACTGGAAAAGTGGCAGCATCTTCAACCAATAGTGCTGACCAAACTGGATGCCTGCAAGTAGAAAAATTCAAATAGATCCATATTTATCACCCTACACAAAGTCCAAGTGGCTCAATGACCTCAACATAAAACCAGATACACTGAACTTGATAGAGGAGAAAATGGGGAATAGTCTTGAATGAGTTCCCACAGGAGAAGGCTTTCTAAACAGCACCAAAGCACAGGTACCAAAATCAACAATTAATCAATGGACTTTGTGAAATTGAAAAGCTTCTGTAAGCAAAGAACACTGTCATCCAGACAAGGTCCAGCCTACAGCACGGAAAAAGATCTTTACCAACTTCGTATCTGATAGGTGACTAATATCTAAAATCTATAAAGAACTCAAGAAACTAAATATAACAAAACTAAATAGCCCAATTAAAAAGTGGGGTACAGGTCTAAATAGAGAATTCTCAATAGTGAAAACTCAAATTCCTGAGAAACTATTAAAGAATGTTCAATGTCCTTAGCCACCAGGCAAATGCAAATCAAAACTACATTGGGATTTCATCTTTCAACTATCAAAATGGCTAAGATCAATATTTGAAGTGAAAGCTCTCGTTGGTAAGGATATGGGCATTTATTACTGGTGGGAGTGCAAACTTGTACAACCACTGTGGAAATCAATATGGTGGGTCCTCAGAAAGTTGGGAATCAATCTACCTCAAGATCCAGCTCTAACACTGGAGCATATATCCAAAGGACGCTCCATCCTACCACAAGATACTTGCTCAACCATGTTCATTGTTGCTTTATTCATAATAACCAGAAACTGGAAACAATCTAGATGTCCCTCAACCAAAAAATGAATAAAGAAAATGTGGCAGATTTACAGAATGGAGTACTACTCAGCTGTTAAAAATAACATCATGACATTTGCAGACATATGGATGGAAGCAGAAAAAAATTATCGTGAGTGAGGTAACCCAGACCCCAAAAGACAAACATGATCACTGCCTCACTCAGTCGTCGTCAGAGAAGTTTCCTCAAGCAGCAGATGGGAACAGATGCAGAGACCTACAGCCAGGCATTACACACAGAGAGAGTCTAAACAGAGGTCTCCATCAAATCCCTTCCCTCAAAGTTCATGGAACCCTTGGAAGAGAAGGTAAAAAGAGTGT